GGTTCTTCATACAGTTAATGCAGTTAAGAGGCCCATATTTCACTATTTTCTGTTGTTTCCTCTTCCAAAACATACCACATGTTACCACCACATGTTAAACACAAATCCCGCATAATTAGCCTGAATTCTTCTCTCAAACTGAGGTACGTTTACATGATGATGATCTGAACAGAAGACGCAAAAGTGGTGTCGCGTCTTTACTTTTTATTTTGCGTTTAGACGAGCATTTTCAGGAGAAAATCTGCGTGCATACGGTGACGCAAAAGTGTGTCGAATTCAATGGGTATGTTTGTACTTAAGGCAAGAAGAGCATCTTTGGACATATGGAAGTTTTCATGGCATGCATTTTCGTCAGCTACTCCTTCCACAAAGTTGTCCTATCATCGGCTGGTTCTCCCAGGTCTCGTTCACAGCTGTCTGGCTCACGTGAGATGAACTGGTGCATCCAGAATTTGACAGCAGGGATTGCAGATCCTTCTCTGTTCAGTAACAGTATCTCTACATATTCTGTACCTTTGTTGGGATGCCTCCTGTAAGTTTACAGAGCAGTTTGAAGGTCCGACGCATGGAAATGATCCAACATGTTTGTTTCTGTGTACTTTATGTATGTGACGTAAATGCATACGTGACGTGAGCAGATCTGACCAGAGTTTTGCGTCTTGGGCAGTGTACACAGAAATGCTATGGTGGAGCGTATTCAACTTTTCCACTCTGAAGAGTGGTTTCAGATTTTTGTGTTTTTAAGTCCTCAAAATGCTGTCACCATTTACTTAAAAACGATAAAATATTTTGTCATTTTTACCTGCAGGTAAATGTGTAAACAGGCCCTGAAAACATTCTTTTCCACTTTGTGATATCATGTCGTAATAGAGGAAGTGCCCCACTGTGTTTTTAAACCCTTTACACCTTTACTAGAATCATTTGGGTAATTTCAGCCTTGGAAATGCCAACCTCTACTGAACAAATGATAAAAGGTAGCTGTTAACTGTTAATGAAAACTACCCCTTCATGACCTCACAAGGTGGAACAGAGCATTTTGAGCTTTGGAGATGCAGACAGACTAAAAATGCGGGATTACTCAAACATGTGTGAATGAAACAAAACACAACTTCGGTTATGTTCTTGAGGAGGTAACAACAATCTAACATGGCTAAAAGTTCACAAGAGTCATTTTTGCGTAATATAGGACTTTTAAATTTCCTGTTTTAGATGTCACCCTGAATTCATCACTATTCCGTCATCTTTATTATACCGTTCTGTTCACCGCCTTTAACCAGTGTCTTTGTTTTGTATCTACAGTCACAGTGGGTTTGAAGAGAAGTCATTAGGGATGCATGGCTGACAAGAAGCACGCTGTCTTTCTGAACCGAATTTTACATCAGAGCGAGGAGGTAAGAGTGAAAAATTATGTCGGTTATTGAGCGAAATTGACAACAAAAAGGTAGATTTATTCGCTCAAAGTCAAATGCAAAGTCATTTAAAAGCATTCCGCTCCATGGCAAAGTGGATACGATGAATCATAATATAAAATAAGGTAGTTTTTTTGCGTTGTTTTTACTAGTTTTATCTCTACTTAAAGTTGTTGCTCCACTTTAGGGACAGGCGAAGTGTGTTTTGTTGTCAATTTATAGCCATTAATGAGTCATCTCTGCCTAATGGGTCTATTGAACTGCTTCCTGTTTACAATTTACTTTCCTCCTCTCCGAACTTGGGCTGTCCTTATATGGCTTTAAGAGACAGAACAACACGAATATTATGAAACCCATAACAGTGAAAAAAAAACAGTGTTTATAAGAAAAGACACACAAAATTAGGTTAAAAGGAAACGTTGTGGCATAACATGTGGCTAGATTAGCATGGGGCTGTAGCGACTAAAGAAAGTACTCGGCGTGTAAAAGCTTTGACCTGTTTTGCAAAAGAAACCGCATCAATATTTTACATGAAATGACCAACAAAGAGACAGAGGTAAAGGACTGCACCTGTCTCCTGCACTTAGTAAAGCAAAGAACATATAAGAAAGTGGTATGGTTTTAACTGTGATTTTGTTTATTCGTTTAACAAAAGATAATGTAAAGGTGCATTGTGGAACATTTCTCTGAAGGGTGGAGGGTCAGTCAAATGCTTTTCTCTTTGTAGAGATGTTATTGCTTTGTATGGAATGTTTCACAGTATGGCATTAAATCTATCTGTCTTCATGGAGACCAAACAGATCAACATACAGGTCAGATCTGTGGAGAGGTGACCCCGCTCACAGACGCCAGTTTTTCTTGGTATTTTTGAGGTATAAATGTGAGGTAGATCTGTTTAGTGTCATACTGTGGAACATTCCAAACAGAGCAATGGCATATCCATAGAAACAAGCAAACAACCAAAAAGTTACACAATGCACCTTTAATAAATACTCTCAACAACTAAAAAAAGCTGTTGAAGTGGCTGTTTTTCGGGGTTTTTTTTGGCGGGGGCAGTTTTTTTCTTGGTATTCTGTCATTGTTTAATAGGTTTAGGCATTATAAGGCATTATTTTACTTCAGCCTAAAGCCTTTTGGTCATGATTTATGGAACTGTAGTCTATGGTTTGTTTCGTTTTGTTTTGTAGTGCTACAAAATGAAACTACTACTACTACTACCCGATCTTTGCTCTGGTTTAGTGACGTTTGTTTTGTCCTAATACTGGTATCGTAAAAGCAAATTCAAAATAAGACTTGTGTGCTCTTTGCATCTATTAAGCATGTTACTGTGTTGTCCAAGGACTAGGAAGTACATTGTTAGCATGCTAGTTATCTGGTCTCTGAAATTAGACATGCTGCAAAGCGTTTAAAATGAAACATGTCTTGTTTTACGACAATAAAATGTGATGAAATGATTTACTGCAGTAGATTACCAAACCAAAGGTCACTGGGTTGATTCCCACACGAAGTAAGTTCTGTCATTGTGCATTTAGGCAAGGCACTTTACCCACATTGCCTACTTTCAATGTGGTGTGTGCATGTGAGAGTTGGTGGGTGAAAGGGGGTCAGTGACAGATTGGCAACCTCGTTTCGTCATTCTACTTTGCTGGTACTCCTCATAATATATTGTATACGATCTATTATAACTTAGAGATTTAATACTAGTAGCAGAAGTAGTAGTAGTAGTAGTAGTGTATTGTAGTTTTAAAAGAATTAGAAAAAGAGAAGAATTATCTCTAGTGCCAGATATGAGCTCCCTCATCTCTTTTGCTTGGTATTTTGAACTGACCGTGGTTATACAGTTCACCTTGTGAGCTCTGAGCGTGGACAAACTGACCACAGACCTTCACATGCAGCAGGTGTGCTGACTCACCCATCTGGGGCTTGTGTTAAACCAGGCTGCACCCAAGGTTCTCTAGCACCCACACAGTAATAGCTCCTCTGACACAGACCTCAGAGCCAACCAAGGGCCTACTGAGAGCACCCAGTCTCTGGACAGGCTGGGTAACAACACACCGGAGATGGGATACATAGCACAATGACTTAAAACTATTTTTCCATGTATTTTTCTGTTTTGTTTTTGGATTTCTGTCTTTCTTGAAAACAGTCAGTCAGTGTATTAAAGATGCACTATGTGACTTTTCAGCTGTCTTTATGGAGCAGTTATTTCTTCATATAGGATTACATGTATCTACTTTCAATTTCACTATTTACAGGTTTTTTTATTAGTCAAAGCAAAAAAGTGTGTTACCTCGCCACAGATCTGACCTGTAACTTGGTCTGGTTTGATCTCTATGAAGATAGAAAGGTTTAATTACCATACTGGGAAACATTCCAGACAAAGCGATAACATCTCCATGGACAAAAGCATTTGATGGATGCTCCACCAGAAAAGTTACACAATGCACCTTTATGTAAAGTTTTGTGCACAAACACATTTTTACATAATACAGCTCTTTTTCTAATCTATTTTCTATTTAAAAACTACTTACAACGTACACTCCACCCTTTTCTTAAAACATAGAGCGCTGTAATGTTATTTCCCCTTTGTTCACATTTGAAGACATTGTTCTGCGTGTATCCTGTTGTGTGGGGCAGGTGTGTGTCTTTATGTGTACAAGAGTCAGAGCTGTGCAGGTTTTGTTATTGCATTGTCCACTGAGCTACAGAATAGTAAACAGACACACAAAATGAAATCTATTAGTCCATTATAATTGGTGGATAAAATAATGTTACATTCAGTAGATTTAATATGGAAAGAACACAAATCAAATTATGTTTGCAATGCTTGTAACCTGATATTATTATTGCATACAATTTTGCAACAATAAAAAAAAAAGAAAAGTCTACCAAATGAATACATAAAAAATACGCTGTATTCAGAGGAGGGTGGTACTCCTTTATGTTTACTCAAATAGATTGACTCACAAATCAAATTATGTTTCCAATGTTTGTAATCTGATATTATTATTTTGTACAATTTTGCAACAATAAAAAAAAAAATCTGCAACTTTGCCATATAACGATATGTCCAGACAGTTACTCTTTCAATTACCCTTACTTAACATAAACAAATACTGTTACCCTACTTGAGTAATTTCTTGGACCAATTATTTAGTGGCCTGCTTACTTGAGTAACGACAATACTATTAGTCAAGTAACGTTTTTTAACAGCTCTGCCTCTGTCTATATCACATATAACTATGTTTTAGCAGTGATTTATAATGTAACAATATAACGGCTTTTCACGATTCTTTCTTCCTACTTTTTTTTCTTGTAAGCATTCCTTTTATTCACGTTTGGCTCTTTGTTTGCACAGACGTAGCCAATTGTAAACAGTGCTTTTTTACAAATGTAGCCCGCATGCTTCCGGAGGTAACTTGACCCCGGTTTGGATTTGAACTCCGTGCCCTGACCCTCAATCAATAACCCCCCACGACAATGACCCCTTTTACGCACAGTACTCCCTCTGGCCAGTAGATGTCGCAGTCTTCTATACAACTGGGACCTGAGAGTAGCCTACCGGGATGGATACAAGCGCTCCCATATGACAAAGCTTCACCATGCCTGGAAACCTGGGAACAGGAGCACGGACAGCGTAGAGATATTTTTGCGTTTTTGCATCTTAACGTGATCCAACTGAGCAAACGCACTGACGCACAACTTCAGCGCGCACCTTACTCTTACTTAGCCAATTAAAACAACTACAATCTCGCTTTATTTCTGCTCGTAAGTGAACTTTGTGGAGATGGTGTAACCCGGAGCATCACCGCGCCGGACGCACAAACGAACGTGGTGCGAGGAGTGGACGACTGAACGCACTTTTAAAAACCTACTTTAGTTTGATACTCGAGGGATACGCGAGCGCACCAGCACCGCGAAAAAGAGAGACAGTGCGGTTGGAGACTAGCGAACAGAAGAGGAGAGAGAGCAGCCAGCAGCGCGCAGCTTTTCAGTCCGAGGAGCTTGAGATGGACGTGAGGTTTTACCCAGCTCCCCCTGCAAGCGTGGGCTCCCATACATTACCAACAGATTCCACTTTGGACTATTACCACTCTAACAAGGTAAACGCGCTTCTTTACTACTTTACGAGCGAGCTGTTGTGTTCTAGCGACGCGCGTAAAGGTGCTACGTTTTTGACCTAAGTGATCCGAGCTGTGGAGGATGACAAGTGTCGTACTTTTCGGTCCCTGGGGATAAGCAGTGGGGAATTAACCCAAAATCTGGTTTTGCTAACGCGCTTTGTGTTTATATGGAGTTATTATAATGCCACTACACCTGTTCTGCTTCGTGCATTGAACTTCGTTAAAATAAGTTAACGAGGATAAAGTGATGAAGCTCTGCGGCGCAAGTCTGTTGGAGCATTACGCATCCACGTTTTTTTTTTTTTTTTTTTTTTAACATATAAAAAAGAACAGAACTGGCTAGTTTAAAATCAATATATTCGAGCTATTCATTCAGTAAAGTACATATCCAGGAGGCTACACGTGCCAAATGCAAGTGTGTTATCTACTTTAAACAGAGATTCCCACATGGATCAATGCGCAATTAGTCTAATTAAAAAGAACGAATTTGCGTTTCAATTTGGCCATGTTAGCAATACTGTGTGCATGTGTTTAAAATATGCTTGGTCGAGTTTTGCTCTATAGATTTATTTATTTAATCTATTTCATTCTGTTATTCTACACAACGTACGATTTTTTTTTTTCAAGCTTTTCATTTCTGAATCCACAACTTAGGCTTGCTTTGTAGTTACATATTGCGCCACTAAACATGACCTTTGTAAGTAATTTGCATACAAAATGTGCATTACAATGAACCGTTTACGACACTATAGATTTGTGGGAACATAACATAACAGCCAAACCCTATAGCTTCACCTATGACAACTTTAAACAGTCTAACAACCCCAGTGTACATAGGAGCACACATAAGAGGCACATAGCGTTAAACATGCATGCTTTGAATACTTTGCTTGCCATAGCATCTGGAGCAGGGCCAGCGTGCTGCTAACGTTTGCTGATGACAAAGTGAAACGCTATCTCACAGTACAATATTTGAATTGTTAATCCCCTGTGTTCATATACACAGACAGAGAGGAGAGGAGAGGTTATATGATACAAGTGTCCACCGCTTTGCTCGTCCACTGTACTGCTCCAACTCTTGATACTTCTAATATAAGTCTGTCAAATACATCATTCTAAACTGTTTTTATTAAGATTACTGATAAAGCGAATCGGCCTGTCACTGTAATTATGAATGCTGACTTATCGTTCAGTATATGAAAGCTGGAACAGGATTTTTGAGTGGTCATTACTTATCGTGTGTGCATTTTCTTTGCACTATACTGGAAATGTTGGGTTATTTTTGGCTATATGATACAATTTAAGACCGAATAAATAACTCTAAGACTCATTATAGATGTAAAGTAAAGACTCAAGTGTTTCATTCAGCTATTTATGTGTTTATTTTTTTTTCAGTATTGTACATTTTGAATAGATTTAGTGGTTTAAATCTGCTTTTGCATCAATTAGTTTCAATATTATATCAAACTTAAATTGTTTTTTGTTGTGACAGGCCTTAAAGTGAGAAAAAAAAATCATAAAAGTATTTCAACTGCTGTGATTACGTTTGCAGTGTGTTGAAAAAGTAGGATTATGATTCTGCACAATATTAACAACTCTTAAAATTTGAGAGAAGACTGAAATATGAACTTAAATAAATACATAAGTTGATACAAGAATCCTGTGCATTTCAGATCATGTTTGTAGAAGTCTAAACTACAGGTACTACTAGCATGCAGTGTTTCTATAAAAGACATATTTAGGACATCTAATAGGACATCTACCTAAATAATTATATCCTTTGCGGTTTGAAATTTGAAAAAGTTACATTGCAATTCAACAGTGATGTTTTATGCAGCCCTGTACTCTTCCGCTGTCACCCAGAATGCCTCTGTGACCTTTCTTTTGTGGTTTGTTTCTGCTCCTGTTGGCTGCCAAACACAATAGCAGGTGTAATTATAATTAAAATCAGAATTAGTTTGGGTGTCTCTTATAGATTTTTGTTCTTCAGTATAGCTTTATTACACCATAACAGTCACTGTGCACATGTCGTTGGCAGTGGAGGTGAGTTTCAAGGTTTGGGCATCATATAACATTGTCATTATTACAGTAATGGGTTGGGCAAGATGTAGCAAGGTGCTTTATCTGATTCACTGCTGCAAACACCACATAAGATTTAGAATTTTTTTTTTCCTGTAGTTAGTTTAGTTAAATTTTTTTGCCATTTGTAGTTCAACACTAATTGGAAAAAAATGTGCAAAAAGCTCAAAGGGCACCACAAAGCATTAAAAACAACCACATGAATAGAAACAATAGAAACTCAAATAGTTTCTCTTTATTTATTTTTATAGTTGAGGTTCTGATCATTTGGAAGTTATTATGGTGACACTTGAGGCCTGCTTCCATGAGACTTTGATGTACATTTTTTAATAGAGGTCTGCCACCTGCTTGTTTTTATGTAGGTGTTATCGCTTTGAATGTTCCACAGCATGGCATTAAACATATCTACGGAAATGTGTTTGTCAGTGCATATTACATCATTGAGACCAACGGTAATTTTCACTTTTAGAAGTAGTCCTTTTTGTAAATGTTTATTTTGATTAGCCTCCAGTTTGCCAGTTTTGTTGATTCAATTTAAATCATTTTATTGATCTTTGCTTGGCCAGTCAAATCAGATAACGAGAATAATCACACAACCCATAAAAAACAAAAGAATTGGATCCGATTTTTTGAGTATGTTTATATGCACAAAAGAAATCTGATCAACACCTGATGACATGTCTGTTTATTAATAGATTTTTAGCATAACTTGCATTTGTAAGGCAAAGTAAAATTCCCTTTTTTGCATAACTTTCCTTATGAAAACCTGCACAGATGTGAACAATAAGAAAAGAAACTGCATTACTCACATCAGATGAAATTGTTTACTTGACATTACAGTAATCTGATAACTCAGAAATCAGATAATGAGCAGATTTTCCGTGTGCATGTGAGGTAAGTTTTTTTTTTTTTTTTTTTTTTTCATCATTGTTTTGAAGGTTTTACATTACACAAAATGTATTCTTGTGTGAGCTTTAATAATAATAATGCTGTTATCAGCTCAAAAACAGACCTGGAGTTGTGTTTTGTTTCATTTACACTTGTTTGAGTAAACCTGGTCTACATTTCCAAAACTCAAAATGCTCTATCCCACCTTGTGATGTCAGGTAGTGGTAGTTTTAAAGCACCTATCTTTTTACTTTTAGTTCAGCAGAGATTGGCATTTCCAGGGCTGAAATTATCCAAATGAAACTAGTGAAGGGGTATGGAGTTTACGGTGAAGTAGAACAGTGTTTTCTGTTTTAGAGAACTCAACCTAAATATGCAGGGTCTGTGTGTTAAAAATGTTGATGAAACATAGATCAGAAAATTGCATAATATGGGCTCTTTAAGAATTTACTCAATGCATATTCAGAAATACCCATATACATTAATTCCTGCCATACTACGCTTGGATTTCAGATACTTTTGCAAGTTTTTATCTTTATCTTATTCTAAAATGTTTCTCATTCTTTTATTCCTTGTAACACATGTGCCCAACGTCACTCTAACCTAATCCGTACACTAAAGGCTCTCCTCCACTCTACAGTCTTACATATTCTGCATATTCTGTGTTTGAGTGGCTGGTATTTATAGACATGACTCATTCCATAAAGCATTTTTCATAAGGCTGTGAACATATAGACTATTAATGGCCCCGCGCTCTCACAATGAAGGCCTCCTGTAGGGTGTTGATCATTTACACTTAAAACTGACTCCTAATATAAATAGCTGGTGTGATTGTGCATCCATAACCTCATTCATTTGGAAGGCAGTGTTTAGATAAGTGGGACAATGCATGCACAACATTATTCGTTTCAATTAGCATTATGCATTATTTGGTATTTTTAAATGACTTTGGACTCCTAATCCTTGGTATTTCTTGTATTTTATAGGAGCGGTAAGAGTCACATTTTTAATTACATAATCAAATATAGCTTTTACTGATAACAATTATAATGCAGATTTATTCTTAATTACAAAAAGCATTGAACGTGATGCCCCATTTATTTATGTTCAATTTCTTTTCTTTTTTTTCTTCAATGAAAAAGCAGAACGAGCCTCACGAGTCTCTCATTTGGGTTGCCAGATTCAGTGCTGAAATCAAGTTGGTTTAAACCCAAAAGGACTCTCTCTGATCTGAATAGTCACTACCTAAACTCCCGAACCTGCAGCCAATCCTGAATCAGTGCCAGTGCAGCCTTTGCAGCTCAGTAAGTGAATTCTGATCGTTCTGATTCTTCACCTAAGACATGGCCTGTCCATATACTGAGAAAAATATGCATGCGTTGTCTAAATTTAGATTTAGGAACTGACAACCATGGATTACAATCATAGCGTTCGTCTTCACTCAAACGAAATGTTCAGTTCAGTCAAGTGACGAATTTGGAGCTGAGTTCTATATTAGGAAGAGTAAATGATTTATGGACAAACTGCAAAATAAAAACACCAGGATCATGTAGAGCGGATTAATGCAGTCATTTTAAGACCAAAATGAAGAGCCTGACAGCAGCAGTTACAGAGACAGGGGCGATGTTTTTTTCAATACAAAGCGAATTGAAGCCAGAGTCAGTGGAGCCAGAACCGTGGCCATGGTGACTAGCAGATTAACTATGTCCATTTAGGTACAGATTTTGGTTTAAATATGCTGATATAGTTTTTAATGAGGATAGAACAACATGTAACACAGTTAAAAAGCTAAAAAGAAAAACAAAAAGTCTATCATAATGTAGGTTCAAAGGAAATAAATCCTCGATAATGGTCAGAATTAAGATTAGAATGCCCCATAATTGAAGTCCATGTGTGCCGGTGTAGATAGTTTGAAAGTTTAATAATTAGAGAATGTGAAAGGTGAGGCACGATGGAGGTGCATGCAGACAGTGATTGACTGACGCCTGTTTGCTGTATAGATCACTCTGACA